GACCAGATGGTAACATAAAAACCAGCAGTCTTTTCCAGCGCTCAAACCTGGTTCAATGCGTCGACCTGGCACCTGACTTTCTCTAAGGTTTGCCCCATTCTATCGTGATACCAACTGACATTGCATTTACGAAGGTTTTTTCCAACATTTTCTTACGAAAACTTTCAAACATATAGACAAGTTGAAAGAATTTCAGAGGGACACTCCTACACCTACCACCTTCTACCATTAACATTTTATGACACTTTTAATTGTTTTTAATGGGTGCTAAGAACTTTGCGTGCATGATCTCACTTAACCCGTGGAAAAACTCTTTAAATGACTCCCATAAAAGGGATGAGGAAATTGAAGCTCAGAGTTGCACCGACAAGTTTGTCCAACAAAGCCATTACTCGAGTTATATTCACAAAGATGGAGGTTCATTTGAGCTGAATGTAATGAATTTTATTAGTTCAGTTAATGTTGGGGATTTGTTTTCTGAATCAGAGAAGTCGTTTCCAGGTGTAAAACTCAACAAAGAGGCTACATGTTTAGCAGGAAAGGATATGTTCTTTGGGAGTCCGTAGATCAGCGGTTCTCAACCTGTGGGTTGCGACCCCTTTGGCAGTCGAACGACCCTTTCACAGGGGTCGCCTAAGACCATCCTGCATATCAGATATTTACATTACGATTCATAACAGTAGCAACATTACAGCTATGAAGTAGCAACGAAAATAATTTTATGGTTGGGTCACAACATGAGGAACTGTATTTAAAGGGCCAGAAGGTTGAGAACCACTGCCATAGAGTATCAACTTTATTTTTTTTTTTTAGAAAAAAAAACTATACTTCAATTCTAAAAAATAAAGAAAGAAGTGTACAACAGGGATATATACACAAAAATGTTCACTGCAATGTTATTTAAAACAAGAAAAATTGGAAACCCTCTAAATCCCCCAAATTAGAAAAACAGTTTATTGTGGCATATAAGACCATATGCTGAAAAGATGGCGTACGATACAAATGTTAAAAATGATCTTTCCTTCGCTTCATAGAAATATTTGTGAATCCCTGCTGACATATGTGCCCAATCCAAATGTAAAGTGATAACTCAAGGACGTAAATGCTAAGATTGCATAGCATTCTCTTTCGCATAGGAAAGTAACAGACCGAATATCAGAATTGGAAAGGCGTAGAATGCCAGAAAAAAACCGACCCGTGTAGAGCACTGCCATCTGGGACATATATTGGGTGCATTTAGCTTAGTCTTGAAAAGCCTAATATAACATAGAACCAAAACAGCACCAGTCTCCTTCATTGTGCACCCATTTTTAGAATGCTTCTTAGATGCCTATACTGGAGACTCGCCAGTAGAGAGAAAAGGTTCCTATCTTTGTGAGATCCTAGTCTATATAGAAAGTACTTGTCATGCCTTGTCTTGAGTTCCATCAAATGACTCCTCCATCTGATCATACTTGGAGCAGTGGTTCTCAGCCAGGGGTGATATTCCCCCACCCCGACCCCCATCCCCGGGGACATTTGGCAATATCTGCAGACACTTTCGGTTGTCACAACTTGGGGGGGTGGGGGCTGGAAGAGTGCTATTAGCATCTAGTAAGCAGAGGTCAGGGATGCTGCTAAACAACCCATAATGCATAGAACAGCACCTTATCTACCCCAGATGCCAACAGTGCTGAGGATGAGAAACTCTACTTAGATCAGCGGTTCTCAACCTGTGGGTCGTGACCCCTTTGGGGGTCGAACGACCCTTTCACAGGGGTACCCTAAGACCATCAGAAAACACATATATAATTACATATTGTTTTTGCGTTCAATCACTCTGCTTTAATTATGTTCAATTTGTAACAATGAAAATACATCCTGCATATCAGATATTTACATTACGATTCATAACAGTAGCAAAATTACAGTTATGAAGTAGCAACGAAAATAATTTTACGGTTGGGGGTCACCACCACATGAGGAACTGTATTAAAGGGTCGTGGCATTAGGAAGGTTGAGAACCACTGACTTAGATTCACAGGACTCTTTCTTAGAAGTTAAAATGAAGGAGAAACCTGCGGGGGGGAGGGGGGGGGCGCGTGTCCCACAAGAAGATGGCAGCCCTGGAGGCATGTATGTGCAAGGGAAAGAGGATGTACCTGGGGGATTATGGAGGCTGTTAGTCAAACCTCTGGGTAGAGACAGCCCCAATTTACTGAGAATCCTACTCCAAAAGCTAATTTGTAAATTGCTTCTTTGGCATGTCTTGGCTCCCCTGCCTGCCTCCTTGCAGAAGGAGACCATATGGTGACAATGAAAGGCTCTGGAGATAAAATCGGGAGATCTGGGTTGCATCCCAACTTTGCAATAATGAACATCACTTTACCTTCCTGGGCCCAGGCTTCCACTTTTGAGAAACGGGGATGGAAATGCGCTCCCTCCCACTGCTGAGACGCGAGCAGGTGTTGGAACACGCCTGGCTCTCTGTAGAGGCTCAAAGGTGACACTGGCTTTACTATTACTGTTTGTTCACAATCTATCACTAAATGAAAAGAGGGCTTATAAAATAGAACATAGTGTATGTGTCCAATTTTTGTGCAATATGACTATCTGCCGAGAAAATAGTCTAGAAGTAATTATATTAAATGGCTAAGACAAATTGTCCCTGAGTGAGGAAAAACAAAACAAAACCAAAACAAATATATCACCTTGGGAATTAGATAGTAAATACATGTTATTTAAACTCTTAAACGTTATTTTTCAAAGGATATTTTATGATATGAGGGAATACTTTTAAGATGCAATTGAAGCAAAAACGAAAGCAAGATAGAAATTGTAGAGCTGTGCTGTCCAACATCGCAGCCACCAGCCAGCCCCTTTTGGCTACTGAATACTTGAAATGTGGCTAGTCTGAAACAAGATGTATGATAGTGCAGAAAAAAAAAAATCAAAGGCTGAAAAGATAAAATATTTCATTAATACTTTTTTACATGGCTATCTGATGAAATGACAGTATTTTGGTTTTTTTGGGTTAAATGAAAAATATATTAAAATCGATTTAACCTGTTTTCAGTTTTCTTTCATGAGACTCCCAAACATTTTCAAGGACCTATGTGGCTCACATTGGTGGCTCACATATTTCTTTTGAATAGTGCTGATACAAATATTATAAACCTGACTATGTAATTAAAAAAAAAAAAAGAAACACGCACACAGAGAGAAAAAAATAGAATGGAAAAACCCCAAACTCATCACCATGAGTAAATCTAAATGATAGAATTATGAGTAATTTTTCTGAGCTTCTGTACATTTTTCTGTGCTTTCCAAATGTTCTGTGGTATCTAACTATCCCTGTGATCATTTGGTAAAGGGAAAAATGAGTCTAGAATCTGTCCTGTATTCCAGGGCAAAAAAAAAAACACACACACAAAACTGTTCTTTCTTAAAATTATGCAATCATATGGGGACTGTTATTTTGTGGATTGAAGAAATGACTGTAGCCAGCTGACCTTTCCTTTGGTCATGGGTATAAAGGGGAAGGTCTGACATTCTGCTCGCATCTTCCACGGGCCTTCCCCACAAGGAGGGAACAGGGTGTGAGGAGTGTGAGGAGTAGCTCCATGGATGCTCAGAACATCTCTGGGCAAGGAAATGAGTCACCCAGTGAGTCAACCCTGCCGCCCTGCTTTCATTCTTGGTATTGTTCCACCTCACTGCTCCTCTGTCTGTCACCCTTTCCCCATGAACCACATGTGCAATCTTCAGATGGCCCAGATTTGGCTGAGACGGGCTACTGGGCGTTGAGCAACTCAGGTGCCTCAGTCATGGTCACCACATGATCTCCATCCACCTTCATGGCTACCTATTCAACACAGGGGTTATTAGTATTCCTGGTTCAAACATGAGGAAACTGAACTACGGAGAATTTTGATACCTGGTCAAGGGCTCACAGCTAAGGAAGAGGTTGGGGTGAGATTCAAGTTCAGGTCTGACATCAAAGACTGAACTCCCCAACATGGCAGGACCCCATCGCTCTGTCTTTCCTAGGGCTCTCACCTCGCTCTACCCCCACAACAAGACCAAGAAGTGATTAATCTGTGTCTTTTCCATTGCTCTGTATTTCAGGTGCCCTGCCTGAAATGGTCCAGGCACCTGAAATGTTGGTGGTCTGCTTTCCTTCTTCCAAAAGATGTCTGGGGAAAAAGTCTAAGAGTCTGATAACAGACTTTTACACTTTATCATTCTCCTTCAGGGAGCATCTGTGGCTAAAGTCCTGCTCCAGTTGTGGGGTGAAAGACTAACAGGAATTTCTGCCATCGGGAGAGACATCTGGGGGAGAAAGAGGGTGAAACAGGAGCCCTTCTACTCAAGGAGCCAACTCCTGCCTTCAGTCTATCAGCAGGGTGGGTGGGGCCAAGGCCTGGTAAGCAGACGCTCATGTGATGTGGCCGCCACAGAATGCCACCCCCTCACAGATTCCACCAGTCAAGAGTCATGTCTGGAGATTAAGCATTTCCCTTTCTTTTAAACCTTTTTTATTTATTTTTTGGTAATTTAATGTTTTATAGGTTATACATTCACATGGTTCAAAAATTATATACATTATATATAAGTGCATATAAAATGATACACATTGTATCATTTTTAACCATGTGAACTTAGTGAACTTATTGCGCGCGTGCACACACACACACACACACACACACACACGTTATACTGAAATGTCTTTCTCCTACCTGGTCCCCCAACTGCCCAGTTCCTACCCCACTCCCACAGTCACTGCTCTTATTAGTTCCTCGTGTATCTTTTCACAATTTCTTTATACACACACAAATACATACAGATACATGTGCACATATACCACCACCCTTCTGTTTCTACGAAAGTTGCAGGCTCTTTTTACAAAAATAAAAATGCTGGAGAGAGCACTCGTTAGTGAAAAGGAGCCTACAGCTATGTTCTTCCTAAGGGCGCTAAGGCCCTTTCCCTTTGTTTTCTCATTTTTTTTTTTTAACAGAAATATCTTTCTCTAATGTTAAATACATAATTGTCTGGAGGGGATGGGGAACAACTTGAAATGAATCAGACAACACCTTCACATTACTCATTCTTTTCATATACTTCAAATTTGTACTTAATGCCGTTTTCCTCCTGGACATCAGAAAGAACACCTGGGTACTCTGGGAGAAGTTTATATTTCTCCAAATCAATTTCTGGGAAAAATGTATCACTTTCAAATTCCTGCATGATCCTTGTCTCAAAGAGTCGTGGATGGCCGGGCTTGCTCATGGCTTCCTTATAAACGGAACTGCCTCCTACTATCCAAACCATATCCACTTTATTTGTTAATTCTGGTTCCTCAATAAGTTTTAAGGCATCATCCAGACTTTTAGCAAGAAAATGAGTTCCTTTTGGAGGTTCCTTGAGTTCTCTACTGAGAACTAAATTAATCCTGTCCTTTAAAGGCCGATTCTTCTTGGGAATGGAGAACCAGGTCTTCCTACCCATAATCACCAAATTCTGTTTACCTTTTGCTGAAGAGGTTGTGGTCATTCTTTGGAAATACTTGAATTCATTCCTGAGCGGGGGCCAAGGCAGGTCTCCGTTCTTGCCGCTGCCCATGTTCTGGGACACAGCGGCGATGCAGTTGAGAGTACGAACCATGACGGCGGCACCAGAAGCCTCGGAGCTCGCTAGCGACACAGGGACTTTTTTGTGTTTTCTCATTTTTAAAAAATAATTTTTTATTGTTGAAAGTATTGCATATGTCCCTCCCCCCGCCCGCCGCCCACCCCACTGTGTTTTCACATTTTAAAGTCAGGTTTAATGAGGCATGACATACACATACAGGAAAATTTACCCTTTTTAGTGGACAGTTCTGCAAGTTTTGGCAAATGCATACAGTCAACATACAGAACAGTTCTAGTAATCTCCCCCAAAATTCTTTGCCCCTTCGTAGTCATCTACTACCCCCTAGCTACCCCAACTACACTTCCATCTTCAGCCCCCAGCAACCGCTGCTATGTTCTCTGTCCTTGTAGTATTGCCTTTTCCAGAATCTCACCTAAATGGAATCAACAATATGTAATCCTCTGTGTCTGCCTTCTTTCACTTAGCAGAAGGCATTGGCGATGCATCCCTGTTACTGTGTGTATGTTGTGTGTCTCTGTAGTTTATTCCTCGTCGTCGGTGAGTTGTATCCCATTATCTGTTTATTCATTCATAGTTGAAGGACATTTGGGGTTGTTTGCAGTTTGGGCACATTATGACGAGAACTGCTTTAAACATTTGCATATGGATTTTTGTGTGAACATGCCTTTTCACTTCTCCTGGATGACTACATAGCAGTGGGATTGCTGGGTCATGTGGAGAGTGTGTATCATCTCCGTTTTAATCCTTACAATAGCCCCGTGCCCTGGTCTTGTCAGCCTTATCCTCAGAGGGGAAATCTGAGGTCCAGAGAGGTTTAGTAGCCCGTCTCCCATATCACCCATCAGATAAGTGGCAGCGCTGGGATTTGAACTCAGATCTGACAGGGGGGGAAAAAAAAAACCTCCTCTGGTAACCACAACGTAATTCTGTCTTTCTGCTGCTCTGTTAAAATGGGTCAGAGACACCTCATTGTAAGGGCTAATGATATTAATAAAGCACAAACCTCACTTTCTTTCTAATTTTGGCTCCCTTACAAGAATTCAGACTTCTGGTGGAGAGGAAATCCCAGTGAGGCCCCCTCTAGGCTGGTAGCACGCTCTATTGCCTCGAGAATACCAGCTTCCCCAAAGGGAACGATTCCCAATGTTTATGAGTGGGTATGGAATGTGCTCTTAAAGTTTATAGTTCACTTAACATGCATCGTCTCATCAGAGAACGTTTCACAAGGGGTGGGCCTGTCTCTCCCTGCCACCCACCCACAGAGCCACCAACACCTGCTGAGCATCGTGCAGACGGAGGCTATTTGTGACCCTTATTATTTCATTCTATTCTGAGCCGCACGCCCCTCCCTTTGCGCAATGACAACCTGCCAATTTCAAATGCCCTCCTGGCACGCCTGGGTTGGCAGGGTGGTGGCCTGGAAAGGGCACGGGCCTGGGACGCCAGCCCTTCCCTCGGGAGTTTGCTGGGCATTGGGAAGGCTATCTGAGTGCCCAGCGTGGGGTCTGGCATCTGGGAGGCGGTCAGAAAATACTGGCCCCCTGTCTTTTCCCTGACAGAGGAGACCGGTACCGAGCCCGGAAACAGGACTCCGGAGGTCAGCGCCGACCACCCGTGTGTTGTGCGCTTCAAGCACCCAACTCCCGCTTTGCACCTTCGGTTTCCACATTCAGAAACGTGGACCAGGTCCAAGTTCACTGTATGGAATGTGATTATAAAGGTCGCCGTCCTTTCAGCCTCAAGAAGAGGGATGAAGGGGAAAACGCCTTCATCTCCTGGCTGCTCAGAGGGCCCTGTCCTCTCCAGGAAAAGATGGGATTTTCCTGCCATGGAGAAGCGGTTGGAAGCAGCAGGGAGAGGCCTGAAACTCATGGGTCACCTAAAGCCAGACCCACATGCGGAGCTGAGGGAATCACTGGGTCATGGAATCAACAGATCCTCTGCCTCACATTCCTTGTAGGAGCTTGTGAGTCTCTGTAAAGTGCTGATAACAATGGCGTGGGCCTCCTTGGGTTGTGGGGGATGGGAACCTGGAGGACAAATGTACCTTGCTTAGCCACCACTGGGTTGTACGGGGGTGCAACAAGACCACGTGTGTGAGCCAGAGGTCTCACATGAGTTCCATTTGGCCTGCACCTAGGGAGACCCACTCGTCCTGGTTTGCAGCAAAAGATCCACATCCCAGGAAACCTTTCCCTCTAGGCAAAATGGGTCTGTTGGTCACACTCCCTGCACACCCAAGCTTGTAGCCCATGTTCAAAATTTAGTTCACCTTAAACATCCCAAATGTCCAGAACCAACTCTGTGCCCACATTTGCACATGAAACAATGGGCTGGGGCTGAGCGATAGCAGCAGCTCTTAGATGGGTCAACACTTGGCCCCAGTCTCCACCACTCCCTCTTGCATTACACCCGTCCATCCACTTCACTTATTGTTACCTGCCTGGCCCTGGTGCATGGAAGCTTACAACCTTCAGTGTAAATTTACTCTTGTCTCTGAAGAACTTAAAAACTTAAGAGATAAAACTTTTAAGAGCTTACCCATAGGTTGCTTCTTTTCAAATGGTGCAAGATAGGCATACTTTAGTGGCACAAAGCACCATCGAGTTTCTCTCTGGTGTTTTTTGTTAAAAAAAAAACCAAAACATAAGTAATGTAAGTTATAAGAATCTAATTAGTTTACCATAAAATTTAAAGTATTGTCATTTTCTAATGTAAAAGAAAATGCAAACTCAGATGTTTTCCTCCTGCATGGACCCTCAAGCACAAACTCTAGTTGCAAGTAACAGAAATATAATCTAAAGCAGTTTGAGAAGGAAGGGAGAATGAGAGAGGGAGAAGAGGAGAGAAGGAGAGGAGGGGAGAGATGCTGATTTAGTGTCTTCCATAATCAGACTGCAGAAGAGTGGGAGCGGCTGTCTGGTCCGGGGCTGACGGGATTCAGAGACTCAGTCTCTGCCCCAGCTAGGACTCTGTTCCGGTTTATCTCTGCAAACTAGCTTCACTCTCTCAGGCCAGTTTCTGCACGTGGCGGAGGAAAGGAGCAAAGGTAGCTCTGGGCTCCCAGTTTTACTAGTTGAATCCCCAAAGCGGGGAAAAGATGGGCAGTGAGCGGTGATGGTATTCTTGTTTCCACCAGTCGGAAGATCCAGTCAGAGAATCCTAGGGGAGAATCCTGAGTGGCCTGGCTTAGTTTTAATGGCGGTTTCTGGACTAATCGGGGACCTGCTCCTAGAAGAAGGAATGGGTGTTAGGCAAACCCAAATCACAGCTGCCAACAGGCTGCTCTCGGTGGGCTTACGTGACCTCTCGGGCCCTCCAGGTTGGGAAGCTCTTGTCTGCAGGGTAGTTTTTGGTACCAATTCTAGTAATCATTGCTTGCTTACCAAGTGCCTTGCTTACTTAGTTTTAATGGCTTTGCATATGCTCTCTCATTTAATCTTATCATCGACCCTCTAAGGCAGTGGTTCTCAACCTTCCTAATGCTGCGACCCTTTAATACAGTTCCTCGTGTTGTGGTGACCCCCAATTTCATTGTTACAAATTGAACATAATTAAAGCATAGTGATTAATCACAAAAACAATATGTAATTATATATGTGTTTTCCGATGGTCTTAGGTGACCCCTGTGAAAGGGTCGTTCGACCCCCAAAGGGGTCACGACCCACAGGTTGAGAACCAAATCATATCCCAGGTGTATCCCAGCTGCCTACCTGGAGAAAGCGCCATAGAGTAGTCCCCCCAACCGCCATCAGCGAATTCGCTTTCTGCAGTTTCAGTTACCCGTGGTCAACCGTGATCCGAAAATATTAAATGGAAAACTCCAGAAATAAACAATTTATACGTTTTAAGCTGTGTGCTGCTCTAAGTAGCTCCATGAAATCACACGCCATCTTGCTCTGTTTGGCCTGGGGTGTGAATCATCCCTTTGTCCAGTGTCTCCACGCTGTAGACGGTACTCACCCGCTAGTCATTTACTAGTAGTAGCCGTCTTGGTTATCAGATGGACTGTCATGGTATCTCGGGGCTTGTGCTCAAGTAACGCTCATTTCCTTCAATCATGGTCCCAAAGTGCAAGGGTAGTGATGCTGGCAATTTGGATATGCCAAAGAGAATCTGTAAAGTGTATGTATGTAGAGGAAAAAACATAGTATATATATATAGGGCTTGGAACTAATCTGTGGTTTCAGGCATCCACTGGGGGTCTTGGACTGTATCCCCTGTGGATAAGGGAGGACTACTTACTGTGCTGGACTATAAAAGATTTGTCACAGCCTGGCCAGCATGGCTCAGTGGTTGCACATCGACCTATGAACCAGGAGGTAACAGTTGGATTCCCAGTCAGGGCACATGCCCGGGGTTGCAGGCTTGATCCCCGGTGAGGGGCGTGCAGGAGGCAGCCAGTCGATGACTCTCATTATTGATGTTTCTCTCTCTCTCTCTCTCTCTCTCTCTCTCTCTCTCGCCCCCCGCCCGCTCTGAAATCAATATATATATTTAAAAATTAAATAAATAAAAAGATTTGTCACAAACACCTGTGTGCTGGCAGTGTTCACTGGTGTGACCGCTAACGGTGTGGCTTCCCTCGGCCGGTGCGGATGAAGGACTGGGTGAAAGGTCCCCAGATTCCTGCCATGCTTGCTGCCTGCGCCGGGGAAGCCGACTTTGATCTGCCGCTGAGACACTGGGCTCAGCGCTCGCTATCTGTCCATCTCGCCCACAGCCCGGCAGCTTGGCCCAGACCCTCCTTTGGCTGCATTTTTGTTTCTCAACAAGCCTGCATCCAGTGACCCGAGGCCGGCATCAGGAGGCAGAAAAATCATATTTTGATTTTTGTTGTCGTTGCTGTTCTGTGTTCCTGGCTCTGTTCCTAACAGAATACAAATAGCAATATGTTCGTTGTTTGTCCGGGTTTTAGGGAAATCCAATTCAGTCCAACAAACGTCTGGTGAATTTCTGCTCTGAGCCTCACTGCAAGGCCAGGATTATGGCAATGAATGAGAAGCAGACTCTGCCCTAAAAATACTTAGGCTACATATTTTCTTTAT